TTTTTTGTACAATTAAGCTAATTTAATTAAATCTTTGTTTTCAATATGTACATTAAGTGTAGCCTGCTGTTGTAGCTTACTTGCAATGAAAAAGGGGCGCGGCAATATATTTTTTGCATATTCGAGCTTATTTGCATATCAACGAAATATGTGACCACCTTGTGATTTCTAAAATGTTAACCCCTCATCACGTGTTAATTTATAAAGAAAAAAAAAATATATATATATATAAGTTCAAACTAATTTATTTAAAAAAGATTCGATATTATCTACTATATATATATATACATATATATATATATATATATATATATATATATATAATGATAAAGAATTCCTTCTTCGACAGAGAATTTCGTCTTTTTTATTGTATGATGGAATTGAATGTATATGGACCTAGTTTACATTATTGATTCCTCCCTAATGCTCGAATAGAATAAAATTATTTTCTTTCGCCATCAGAAATGCTGTCATCATGAATTATTTTTTGCTAAAATATTTTTTTTGTAAAATATACATATATCTTATAGGGGTTAATGAGCAATTCATTGTTTTAAGTGAATGGATATTCGAAGGATTTTCTCCCCCTTTTTTCTCCAAACAATGTATTTTTAAGTAGTTTGATAATTTAATAGAAACGTAACCTTACTTTCTTTGGAAAACGGACTAAGGTTTGTCAGACACGGATCATCACAATCTTCACATTTCTTTTTCAAGAAGCATATGTCCACACCGCATGCATCTATGTAAGTCTTACTATTTAATGATAGATAAATCAACAATTCACGTTAAACGACGACAATTTTATAACAAAGTACTATAGTTCAAAGATCGGTAGTAAAATATTTGCTAAAGGAATGTTGGCTTTCCCGCTTTTATGCATTAAGGGTGATACTAATGACATGTGTGTCAATATATTGTATCAAATATCTGCGAAATGAATTTCAAATGTAAGCCTTCACGTAACAGGCTAGTCGAGTTTCCGAGCGGTAAGGCAGGGGCGCCGGTAGCTAAAACCTTAACATCGGCGCTGGTCCTTGCCATGGTTCAGTTGGTAGAACCAAGTCTTCTCGGATAAGGATCACTTAAAATGGAGGTCCAGTGTATACATCTTGCTCGTGTGCACTTTAAAAAACCCATTGCATCTTTCGGAAGAGTAGGGGGTTAACCCGATATTATGGTTTATTTCACTGTCGTTGTGGAATGATGTATCTACTAAGGAGCGCCTCTTTACGGCTGCTAGGTAGTCACGGACCACGCCCATACGCAATTCAGCACAGTGACGTTGCAAGTTATGGGTTATTCACCTACCTTTACCTTTACCCTTTGTTTCTGACTTTCGGTTTAGCATAGTTTCAATTTGTTTTAGAAATTACTCTCGTTATTTCTTAACTATACAACTTATTAGGTCACGTTAGATCAGTAAAACATCATCGGTGCAAGATATGCGATCTTTCTTTTGGTAATTTTTACCATAGGTTATTTTAAGTGTTCTCTTCAGTGGGGTGTCACGTTGCGTTCAATGTAGCTCTTTGTTTTGGGGGTGGGGGGTGGGGTTCTTTTTTTTCAACAATCAGTAGATACTTTCGCGTATTGGTAGACTTTGATCACGCCTTTCTCCTTGATCGCTATTACTCTGCATAATTTACCTCGGCCGTGTTATTTACATGGAGGGGCTCAGTGGTGGCACGAGTGAAAGCCCGGGGAATGCCCAATGGTGACAGGGCAGGGCCCCCGTCGGGGAGTGCTGGCACCCTGTCAGGGAGAATAACTACAAATCGTCGGTAAAAAATATATGAATTGTCTACATATTATTAGTAGACTCTAAAATTGATTAAAGAAGCCCTTGAAAACCCAATTGTCTAACTTTTGAGGGCGCGCCTCTCCTGTTGGACTATTGTACTTTCGAATTTAGAGCGACGCCAGAACACGCCCCATTTTCTCCCCATTACCATACCCCGTCGGGGACCTCAAAATTCTGAGGTGTGAATTTCCCGAAAATCAATATATATATTTTTGTGATATTTCGGGTCAAAGGTCAAGGTCACGTGGCTTGACCTATATAACTCTCACTAGTCCAGACATCATCGAGTAAGCAAAATATTGGACGATTTCAAGGGGGTCGGGCAAAAAAAGTGTGTTGGAATCATATGGAAAGACTCCTGTTTCCAATTTAAACCATTCTGACTCCTCACCATCATTTAATACAGCACACTTTTAGGACTACATCAGCTTATAATTTATGGCGTGTGATTCTTAATATCATACACAACTACTTTCCCCCTTGCGAGTATGTAAATCGTTCCGAATTATCACAAAATTTTAAGCATGCCTTGCATTATATATTTGCCAGCTATCTAACCGTTGATTTTTAATACAGTAATGTGGCATGAAATTTGTTAGAAATTGATCGTCTCCGTTGATTGCAGATTGATCTACATAATATGCAGAATGTTATCTATAGGCATGCAGATGTACAGGACAAAATAACATTACTTTTTCTAGTTCCAAAAACACCCAAATTAATGAAAATTTAAATGAAATATTCATGAATTATGTGTTTGAGAAATCTATTATGTAAGACCCTCAAAATGCTACTTTGTCGCTTTTCTCACAAACCCCCTCAAGGCCATCTGCCCCTGGACCACCCAATTTCAAACTTTTAAAAACCTATTATTTCACTAAAATCGTTCCCAATTATCGCGAAATGCTATAGTATGCATTACATTTTTTTGCCCGTTGATTTTTAATAATGTGCTAATAATGTGCTGAAATCTGTTGGAAATTATCAGCTCCAGTGATTGCAGATTGCATCCATATCATCTGTAGGCCTACAGATGTAAAGACCATGAAAAAATTACAATTTCACAGTTGTGTTATTCAAGGGAAAAGAGCCCCCTAAAATTATAAAAGAAAATGGAGAAAAAATAAATATCATAATTGTCTCAGAGAGTGCCATTTCCGGCCATTTTGAGGTGCCATAATCATAAATTTTTCCTGTTTTTACTGTAGGTCGCTAGACAATACTTAAATGAATGAAAATTTAAATAGGATATTACAAATTATGGATTTTAGAAACCCCTCAAAATGTTAATTTATCAGAGCTTCCAGAAGAAAATAATTTAAAAAAAAACTTTATGGTATACTTGTACTGTATTTTCTGAAGCGCCGTTCGTTTTTGGGGTTGCTACAATCAGCAGTTGTTACATCAGTGGCTTCACGCTCGGGCGCTGACGGGGGGGGGGGACGCCAGGGCCCCAAGTGCGAGGGCCTCCCCCCCACCCGACATTGTTTAAAACAAAATATAATATATATATATTATATAGAGAAAAAAAATCAAAGACATAAGCAATATATTATTATATTCCAACAATATTGCGTAGAACTCACTTTCGTACATACATTATTACGACGCATTGAACCAAAAACAGTTTGTATAATTTTATTTAATTGAAGGCTAGTTGGGCTAAGCATAGTTTGTCTGATTTGCCAACCTACGGTATATGCCTAGGTAGGTTCAGGCGCGGATCCAGCGGGGGGCCACGGGGGCCCGTTCACCCCACCCCTGTCAGTCACGCCGAAAAATATAAAAAAAATTGAGAAGAGTAAAAGGGAAGAAAGAAAGAGGGAAAAAAAGAAGTGTACCCATGAGTTCAGTGACGGATCCAACATAGGGCGAAAGGAGAGCTCGATTATTTTACCACTCACTAATTTTGAATTTTGTATGATTGTCAACGAACACAACGCTATTATCCCCGACGCATCAATCAGGATGGAAAAAGGCCGAAAGGCGGAGACCTAAAGACTTTTTTAGCCGGAATGTAGTACCCAGCTATAGAACAGCTATCCATGCTCAGCATGGAGTAACGCCTACGCGTTCTCGTGCTAAAATCCGCAGGTCACCGGCCCTTTATAATGATTTTGATAAACAATCATAATTCTCTGTACTATCTACTAAAAATTTAACGAATGAACTTCCTTGTGTTGTGGTCATATTAGACTGTTATATTTTTAAAGACGACCATTCAGCAAACAACATAAAACAAAATTCCCACGTGGGTGCATGCATAAAACGTATAATTTCCTGAAATTTGGATATAAAGCGGACTTCCTTATGATTTAGGCCTAAGGATATATAATTGTATGCGGGTCTGAACTTTGTAGTTGACAAAGTGTTCTTCCTTATGTTGTGGTCATATTAGAATATAATATCACTAAAGACAATTCAACAAACAACATGAAACATAGAGCCTATATCAAACTTTTAGTTTAAAATTTCTGCTTCCGAGCATGCATATAACGTAATTTTTTAGATATATATTTTAATGACAGTCGAGAATGTACTGATTATATAACGAACTCGGGATACGACCCTCGGTTGAAACTATCAAAGGGCCTGTTAATTAACCTTGCACAGAAGCCTGTCGTCACCTGCTACAATGCCTTCTCCTCCTTATCATCATCACATTATCATCATCATCTTCATCATCGCAATTATTAATTGTCCATGCTGAAATGGGGGAAATCAATTAAGTCAGTGTGTATTTATTCATCAATAGAAGTCTCGTAATTCACGTAAGTGCATTTCTCAGCATCTAGAAAAAACAAAACTCTGCGAAGCTAGGAGAACTCCAAGACTAACTGCAAACCACCCCACCCTCTAAAATAATCTTCCAGCGACGGAACAAGCATTATGTTTTCCTCCCATGTCCCCACCCACTCAGGGAACACATTATGTGCGATAGTCAAGGTAAAGCTGGGTTTCCATATAATCGCTCACCCTATCGGCGACAGTTGCCGACAGTTATCGGGAAGGTTGAACCTGGTTTAACTTTTCCGAATGCGTTGCAGACGCAGACGAATCAGGGTGCATTGCTAGCTGCCTTGCGCAATCGGAAAGGTACCCCGATTCGTCTGTGAACCACAACTGACACGACTGTCGGCGATAGGGTGAGCGATTCTTGGAAACCGAGCTAACTCTGGATCAACGCCTGAGAGGTCCCTATTTTCAAAATTGTCTATTCCCTCGGCCCCAACCATGGTGGGGGCAGTGAGGTGGACCCTCACGCACCCCCTACCGCCAAGTCCTTCATCCGCCCCAGGGGTGTCTAAGAGAGGAGCATACGAGGGAGCATAACTGCCGTCGGGAGGAAGTCAATAAAAAAAACACTGCTTTGAAAAAGCATTTTTACCGTCCGAGAGTGCCATTTCCGAGCGTCAAGAGGGGCCTATTCTTAAAATTTGCTCCAAGGGCCACTAAATTATATAATAAATCGTCAAAGAAAGGTAAATACAATGTTCGAATAAAGGACATAATAATACATCGGGTTCGAGTCCCGCCAGAGGCATTTTATTACACAAATGCTTTATTCATTTATTTACAGGACTACATTCGTTGAGAGCTATGCTACACGATGTATTATTATGTCCTTTATTCGAACACTATATTTACCTTTCTTTGATGATTTGTATATAATTTAACAGTGTTAACGGCTATCTTGA